AGGCCCCGCACCGAGGGCCCGAACAGCGGGTCAGGGACCGTCCCCGGGCGGGCGGGGGTCTGGCGTGGTGTTTGTCTGCGTGCCGGGGGGCGGGCTTCTGCCTTCCCCGCCGTGTGTCCCCCCGGGCGGGCGGGTGACTCTGTCCTTACGGTGTCATGCGGGGAAGGGGCCGCCCGCCGCGCTTGGGGCGTTGCTGTTGTGGCCTCCTGGCAAGGGCTGTGCCAGCCGCCGCTTGTACCCGCTGGCCAACGCGGGGCAAAGTATGATCGGGCACTAAAAATAAGCAGTGATAATTGTCTGTGCGTTCAAATCCCTGTTCTAGGCATTTGTCCCCAAACTGAGGAGAGGCGTAAGTCTTCGGTGAGGATTGCAGCATCCTAGATTTTACACTATATGTCACATATTTTAAGTTGACATAGTTTATACAAAAACGACGGGGAGGTGTGTTTATTTTTATTTGGCCAGTAATTGACCTCATTGGTCAGGGCTTTTTCCCAACCACAAAAACCGCCTCGTTGAGATTTGGGCTGAGTTCACGGGGTGGAGAACAATCTCCAGTCTCCCGAAGAAACACGTGTTTCCACACGTAGAAGGCCATAATAAAAGCCAGTGCTCCACCTAGCCAGGAAGGACTGTAAATCAGTTTCAAAGAGAGTTTGAAGACGTCTGGGGTTTTTGGAGGTGTTTCCACCTGCTTGTCCCAGGTTAGAGATGGCCCCAGAAGGGAGCAGTGCTGGGGAGCTTGCATATGAGGCTGTTGTTGCTGGTGTCGGTCCTGTTGCAGTACACAGAGCACTGTCACTTCTGAACTGTACCATGATGCTAATTCCCCTTTGGAGAAACAAGAGGGAACGCTGTGCAGCATTCTGCCACACTGGAGTGTTGTGGTCCAAACAGAAACCGAAGTTAAGCAGCTTTCAACTCTTCTGGGTTTACTTGAGCAGGTTGCTTTTATTGAGAATGAATCATGATAAATGTAGGGCTCCCTGTGCTTTTTATGACATAGTTAACTTTGTTTCTGTTTCTTTAGTAAATTGTATTTCAGATGTAGGGAGGAAAATGCCACAAATGTCTTTGGACAGTTAATATTAAACACTAGAAAAGGAATTATGAATACAGTATTCCACTGGGGGTTTTAGTGTTTGTTTTCAATCTGGTGTTTTAGCTCTTTGTCATGGTGGACAGCGTATGAGAAAGGCAGATCATAAAGCCAGTATAGCCTTGATGCTTTTAGATGATGTGTTGCTCTATGGGGAACGCTGTAATAATCTTTTTGTAGTAACTATTGTGCTGTACGTGGAGAAATCCTTCCAATAGTCAAAGCAGTTGCTCATTTTTACATCTGCTTGTTTTATTTTAGGGTATGCAATGACTGGCTTCAGACTCCCCATCACTACTTTTAGAAAACTGAATGTCTGGTTTGGACTGTGGGAGAAATTCCCCTCTAATAAATTTTATCCCTCTTGGAGAAGTGTATTCTGTAGCTGTCAAGCAAGCGCAGTGAACTACATAAGATGTTTCAGCTTTTCCCCAGTAAAACTGTGTGCCCTAAGACTTTCTCCACAGTGTATCTCAGTGCTTTTTCTGCGGAACAAAAGTAACAAAAGCTCTAAAAGGAACAGACAAACCATACAAGAAGAAGAGGAAGAAGAGGATGAAGAGGAAAGTGATTTGGAAGATGAATTTGAAAATGACCCCAATGTAGTAAAAGATTACAAAGATCTTGAAAAAGTAGTGCCGTCTCTTCGATACGACGTGATCATGAAAGCTGGTCTGGATATTGCAAGAAAGTAAGTATGGAAGAAACAACCTGCTGATGAGGAAGATGTCATGCATCTAAAATCTGAGTTTTGATACCCTTTTATTGCTGGAATAACTCAGTATTTGGGGGTTTTTTTTGGTGTCACTGTTTTGACTGTCTAAAAATATGTTTTGGATGTGTGGGTGTTCTTGTTTGTTTCACCTTATCTTCCTTGAAATCATCTGTTTTCTGCATTTTGTTGTCTGCAATATTTGTAAGATTGCTGAGGCGGCATTTTCTATCAGTTACTGTTTATTTAAGATACAAAATAATGTACTAAGTAATACAAAAATATCTAATTTGAGATTGAGGGAGTAAAATAATATGCTACTTGATGGCTGTAGAAATAGGTGATGGTAAGTATAAACCTACTAGGTCAATCAGGTGAATGTGCAGTCTATAAATATATTGCCATGTTTGATCTAATGCAACCTACAGAAGCGTTATGTTGCAATATTGTTAGAACAGAGTATTAGTATAACTCAATCACTTAAAAATTACTAAACTGTCTCATGCAGGAGAGGGGACATTATGTGTTGGATATTCAGGAGATGGCACAGAGCAACCATATTATTTAATTTAATATCTGTGAAAGACTTTTTCTTTACTTTCAGTTCAAGTCTGTCCTGACCGTTAATAAAGGTATCTTTTATGTGCAAATTAGAATTGTGGAAATGTGCCTTGCACATGAATGGTGTTCTTGTTTATCTGAAAAGAAACAATTGCCTTTGGTCTGCTGCTCACTGTAAATGCAATAAAACCTTGTTTTTCTTCAGTAAAGTAGAAGATGCATTCTACAATAATGAACTCAGGCTGAATGGAGAAAAACTATGGAAGAAAAGTAGAACTGTAAGACTCTTTAAAATCTTTTCATACAGTACAAGAAAATAACTAAGGCATGACCTCTTCTCCCTCTAAATCACTCTGCAAAGGTGAATGAATAGCATTGCTAACACCACTTCCATCTTTGTGCGTGTGTGACTGTGATTCCCTGGGTAAGACATTATTCCTTAAGGCAGACAGGACTTATGTTATTAGAGAGTAAAATCTAAGGCTGAAAGTCAGGAGAAGGCAGATGGCAGCAAGGAGAGAACTTTCTAAGTTGCTGAAGGAAGTGGTGATGGATGTGAGGTTGATTGAGTAGGCATGATTAAATCGGAGATATTGGTGGAGCAAGCACATGATTAAAGAAAAAGTTTGATGATAGAAAGGGATTGAAACTGGGGTAGCTCAGGAAAGGTTATTGTATCTGGAATAGAGCACACAGGAATGCAGTTAGGAGAAGAGCCAGAAAGGTTGCAGGCCGTGCTTTTTCACAACAGCTCACCAGAATGGTGACAAACATACTTTTACCCACCTTTTATGTGAGGGAGATTGTAGGTGGTGGTTACTGTCATCGAAGGGCACTAAGAAGAGAAGTTTTAATTCCTGATCCCCTAAAGTAAAGGCTAGTTTTTGAGAGGTGCTTTTGTGACTTTTGAAGGGTGCTCAAGCAGTTGTCCAGTGCTCTGTTCTTCAAAACACCTTAAACTGTTTTAAAGGCAGGAGGGAGAACTTTGCATTTTGCTGTTTCTGTCTGTGTTGATACAAAAAGATTGGCAGGAAACACCCTTTGGAAAAAAAATACTACATTATACCTTATTCAGAAAGTTTGGTGTTGGTTGTGGAACGGGAAGGGTAAAGCTGTTGGCAGAGAAGGTTATGAGATATTTAATTACTTATTGCCAGGACTTTCCTGGAAGTTCATAGCTGGAGGATCTATAGTGCGTCTAGTACTGCCTGCATTCCTCCTCTCCTGTGAGATAAGAATATTAAATGGAAAGAAAGGAACAAAATTAAAATTGGACATAGACTTGTGGGTGTTTGTTTTCCCCGGGGAAAGTTTATAATTACTCATCTTCTCTTTCTGTTTCCAGGTGAAAGTTGGTGACACGCTGGATCTCATAGTAGGTGAAGATAAAGAAACAGGAACCGCTGTAGTTATGCGGGTAGTCTTAAAAAAAGTATCTAACAAAACTGAAAGTGAGAAATACAAAGCAATTTTGAGGCGTTGGAAAAACTTAAAAGTGCCCAAACAGGATGTACTTAAATAACAGGGAGTTACATGTGGCAGCAAAAGATTTTTGCAGAAAACCGTATTTTTTGTTAAATACGAATTTTGGTTAAACAAAATTACAGTACCCTTTTTTAAGGGCTTGTGTCAGAATGTTATCTCCCTCAGCTGTGTACATTCATATTCATGCAATAAGCCTGTTGCTTTTTGCTGTTAGTTTTGTTTCATGGTATTGTGGAATAAAAGATCCAACCCTTACATTTCCAGGCAGTTTCCTTACAGATGTTATAAGTAATGAACCAATAAAGACTAATTTGATCACTGTATAATTGCTGTCTAATTTTGTTAATCAGAAAGGTTACATTAAAGCTGACATTACAACAAGAACTGCTTTCTTAGTTTTATCTCTAAATTTGTGAAATAGTAAGGGATAATAGGGATAAAACCCATGTGAAATTGCTTCCTTTTTTGTTATTGGTTTGATCTTGGTTAACAATACCAACTCTGTGTTTACATACACTACTGCTACACCAAGAATGTAGAAGGGTGCTGACTGCAGCTGCGTATTTCTAAGCAGGAAAATTAATGGCGACAGAGAATGGCAGCAATACTCTGCTCTTGAGGAAAAGGCAGATTGGCGGGGAGATGAGTGTAGTACTCCTGATTTTTACTGTTTAAGCAACTGCAGAGGAAAATCTCAGTTTGTCACATATTCATTTCAGTGTGGCATTTACGAGAATATTTAATGCTTGGGTGTTGTAAAGATCTGAGCAAAGGTCAGACCATACGGTGATGAAAAGCTCATGTCCGTATTCCTACAGGAAAATACTGTCACTTAGGATGGGCATCTCGGGAGTAACCACTTGTGCTTGTAATGTTGCACATCTGCTTCTTCCAACACAAGCAACTTGTTAGATGAACTGTGGTGCAGGTCAAATTTTTATTTTGTTCGTATATGCTTAGATAGGCATGTGGGGGTGTGTGTCTGCAGGAAAGCTACAGGCCAGTAGGTAGCTGCTGTTTATCCAGTCCACAGTCTGCTCCCTACCTAGTCTGGAGTGCCCCCAGGGAAGGAAATAGCCCAGAACGGGCAGCTGGAGCGTATTCCAGGACACTCTTTGGTGTTCCTAAATCTAAATGGGCAGGCAAGAAACAAACAGTGCTCTGGATAAGCACCAGACTATCAGGTACACATAAGCTCTCATAAAGTAATGACTGGCTTTTCACTTCATAAAATGTGAGGGGAAGCTCACCTGGGTAAGGAGGGCCTGGGAGCTGCTGAGCTCAACTGCCAACAGCTCCTTGATGGCTGTGTTTAAGCAGGCTGTACCTGCTGCCATCCATAGCCTCAGAAGTGGTGCCTGGTGAGTGCAGGATTTAAAATAATTTCTTGCTTTCTTCAGGCATAGCTAAAATCTGTGACTAGATTCAGATACCTGTCTAGTTAATGCTTTAGAGGCAGAGTGACCTTTTAAAAAAACGTTTATTAAGCAAACATGATCCTGGAAAGCTTTCCTAGGAGATTTCGGTGATCTTGCCCTGCAGAAGTGGGGGGATTCTGCACAGCAAGCACCCAGAGGAACATGGCAGGCTGTGCTTTCATTGCAGGCGTTGCTGTCTCCACTCTATTTGTTGGAGCTTGCACCAAGTGCTGTGGAAATAAATAGATGAGATGCGTCCTTTGTTCCCCAGTTCCACTTACCATTGCTATTCTAAGTGGCTCCTATAATCTCCAGGGATGCTGAGGGAAACAAGTAGAAAGAGTAGTGTGTTCTGAGTACTACGTCAGTGAGCTCCAGTTGATGGTCAGCAACCATTCGTTATCTGTCAAGTGCTTGTCAGTCTAATATGGTCACACTGCCTGTCACCTTCAGCAGTAGTAGTTTACACACCACAATTTACAGAGCTGGCATAGGACCCCACTTGTAAACGCCAGGAATGCTTTGGGGCTTGGGGATAGCCAAGGTTTGTGAAGAAATGAACTTTCTGAAAGGGTCTGTTCTGTGTAGGATAAAAACAATAGCAATACAAAAAGCCAACAACTGCTTGGCATCCAAGATCGGCAGTAAAGTTGCATCCCTGAAAGCTATTGACATAAGAAAGAGCACTGACAGGGTAATTTTTGAGTTGACAGACTATGAATACAATATTAGGCCAAAACCTTAGGTTTTAACTTCTGGAAAAAAACTATTGGGAAGTTGACAAGAGCTTGCAATCAAGACCTAGCCCTTTCCTAATGATAACAGACAGAGACTTTTTTGTCTACCTGGATTTCTCCAAGGCTTTTGATACTGTTCCCCACAGCCTTCTCCTAGAGAAACTGATGTGTTATGGTCTAGACAAGTGGTCTGTGCGGTGGGCGGGGAACTGCCTGACAGGCCACTCCCCGAGGTTGGTGGTAAATAGCTCCTTTTCAAACTGGCAACCTGACACAAGTGGGGAGCCCCAGGGATGGATATTGGGCCCAATGCTGTTTTATATCTTCATAAGTGGTATGGATGATGGGATCAAGGGTACCCTGATGAAGTTCGCTGATGATGCCAAACTGAGTGGGGAAGTGGACACTTCAGCAGGGAGACCCACCCTGCAGGAAGACCTGGATAGGCTGGAGGAGTGGGCTAACAAGAACCTTATGAAGTTGAACAAGGACAAGTGTAAGGTCTTGCACCTGGGAAAACATAATCCAGGAGTGCAGCACAGGCTGGGATCTACCCAGCTGGGGAGTAGCTCTGTGGAAAGGGACCTGGGGGTCCTGGGGGACAAGCTCAGTATGAGAGAACAGGGTGCTGCAGTGGCAAAGAAAGACAATAGGATGCTGGGTTGCATCACCAAGGGCATCACCAGCAGAGATAAAGGAGTCATAATCCCACTCAGCACTTGTCAGGCCACATCTGGAATACTGTGTTCAGTTTTGGTCCCTGCTATACACAAAAGCTGTGGACAGGCTGGAGAGAGTCTGGTGAAGGGCCCCAAAGATGATCGAAGGACTGGGAAGCCTGTCAGATGAGGAAAGGCTGAGACAATTGAGTTTTTTCATCCTTGAGAAGGCTTAGGTGAGACCTTATCACCATGTTCCAGTAATTAAACGGTGGCTACAAAGAAGATGTAGACTCTCTTTTTACAAGGAGCTGCATGGAGAAGATGAGGGGCAATGGGTACAAGTTACTCCTGGGGAGATTCCAGTTAGACACAAGAGGAAAATTTTTCACAATAACAATCAGCCACTGGAATAATCTTCCCAATCCAGGGTAGTGGTGGATTCCCCAACATTGGGCACTTTTACGATTCAGCTGGACAGGGTGCTGGGCCATCTTGTCTAGACTGCACTTTTGCCAAGAAAGGTTGGACCAGATGATCCTTGAGGTCCCTTCCAACCGGATATTCTAGGATTCTATGATTTTTACCTGAGCCTGTAGTGACAGAAGTGGCAATGGTTTTAATCTGAAAGAGGTTAGATTTAGATGAGATATAAGGAAGGAATTTTTTGTGATGAAGGTGGTGAGACACTGGAATGGGTTGCTCAGCGAAGTTGTGGACGCCCCAACATTGGAAGTGTTCAAGGCCAGGTTTGGATGTGGTTTGAGGAACCTGATCTAGTGAAAGATGTCCCTGCCCATGGCAGGAAGGGCGGACTAGATGATCTTTAAATGTCCTTTCCAACTCAAACCATTCTGTTATTCTATGACTGCCACCAAAACGAGGTCTTCACTGACAGATAAAGGTAGAAACAGGCTTTCATAGGTTTTAAGTGTTGATCCACTAATGGTATCAGCAAAGTAAAGAAAAAGAAAGGCAGACTTCCTGTGGAGTCTTGTGATGGGTGAGAGCACCTTCTGTGGATTCAGGATGGAAATGGTAGAGAGAGAACTGTACCCATTGGCATCAGAAAAGAAAGCTTCAGTCCTAGGCAGGGTGATCTCAGAGGAAAACTGTGATGGCAGGAAGGTGAATAGATGTTCTGCTTGGCTACATTGGTCTGTCCTGGATAAGCTTCTCTATTGATCAGACCTTTTTATTGGGGCCAGACATTGCTGAGCAGGTTGCGCTTTTTTTCTGCAGCCTTTTAGACATTTGGACTGTGAGCTAAAGAAAGGCAAGGCTTGGTTAATGACTGACACAAGCACCAGGCGAGCAGAGCCATCATGTGTTCTGGGAGGTGTAGGAAGAGGCACATCACAGCCACAGTCTTTGCTGGACCTTCAGGAGACTTTTAGACAAGGTAGGCTCCCATAGGCTGCGTGCATGTAAAGCATACCTAAACAGCTGTGCGTCTTCCCTTTATCAGCTGTGAATTTAAGGCGACGGAGTCCATCTGATAACATGATCAAGTGTCTGGTCAGATGACATGGCAAGTAGCAAGAAGTGGTCAAACAAAAATTCTAACAATCTTCCCAAAACAGAGAATCTGCCACTAGTCAACTACCAAATTGCTAGTGTCACTGAGTGGTGGGAGACACACAAATGCTTTTCCTCCTGCTCAGAGTTCAGAGTAGGGACAGTGAATTTGGTAAGTGATCACTCCTTCTGCCCTTCTGTCACTGCTGTAATGAATTTCCTGCTCCAGGACACGGGCGTCTGCCATTCTTAGTCTACAGTGTGGAGGAACTATATGAAAGGGCTTCCTTGCAGAGACACTGAGATGTCATAAAGGGAGGTTCGGATGACTTAAGAGAGAGAGACTGGAGACTGCCAGATGACTATGCTGTCCAAGCCACAGCTTCATTAACCATAGACGAATCCAACCTTACGTGGGTTGCCAGGCACAGAGTCCAGAACGGCCGGCATACCTGCCCTTGCACAGAGGGCTGACCTGATCCAAAGACTTTGCCTGGTCCTGTAAGAAGTGGGCACTGTCAGGCTGTGGTACAGGAACCAGCTGTCACTGGCCCAGCATGCAGCATTATCTGACAGCCCTGCCTGGCTGCAGGAGCAATATTCCACGCTGCAGCATCTGCGGCACGTGGGCCAGCCTGTGTTATGGAGCAGGGCATGGGAGGCTCCTGGGAAGGCATAGCAGGGAATTGCTCACAGGACTTGGACTTGGGTCTGGCAGAAGAGACAGCCTGGTCCACAAAGCAGGCACACACCGACACTCCTGACCAGGCTCTTGAGTTCTGCTGCCTATACATCAACACAGAGAGAAGGGGGTTATACTCTGTCTGAGCCTTCTGCCCACCCCACACGCCCCCCCAATTTCTTTTTTCCATAGAACAGAAAATCACCAAAGTGGTTTTGGGTTTCAATTTGGGGATTTTTGGGTTTCAATTTGGGGATTTTTTTTTGTTGCTTGGATTGTTTTTTTTCCTGTAATGGCATAATGGCATGTCAGAACAGGGCAGTCTACCTTCAGCACCTACCAAATTAGTGTTCAACAGCCTGTGCAGACCAACTGTGGTGACCATTCTACAACAGCATGCATGGGGAAAGGAACGCAAAAGGGAGGGTGTGGAAGCCATGCAAATCTGAGCACTGCTGAAGCTAAAATTCTTCAGTTTTCAGTTCTTCAGCATTCAATGCACATACAGACAAGCACTTCAAGGAGACCCTGGGATTTTTTAAATTCTTGGGACAAGGAGAGATAGGGAGCAAGAGAAACAAGGGACAGCATTACATAACATAAAACCAAACTCCTGGATTTCACACAAGGGGTCAAATCTCAAATGTAGGATGTGATCCTATTGAGTGACTCATTCCTACAGCTGACAGGTACCTCACAATTTTCTTTTCATAGGAAGCATTTGTAGACCTTGCTAACATGCTACCTTATGCACTAACTGAAGTGATACGTTCCTCGAAGTGTAACTATTAAAGGAATATTTTGCTTCCCAGAGAAGTGAGCACTAACACACAAGACTACAAAATGCCCCTGGAAACAATGACAAACAGTTGTTTTGCCATAATAAAATTTGTGAAGGAAATTGGGAATGATTAACTTAACATTTGTTTGTGTGGGGAGATACTAATTAGCTGATCTTCCTCCAGTCTTCAGTAATCACAATTTGTTTCCATCTATATTAACACAAATTTGAGTGTGATTGGACACGTGGTGATTTTGCTCCTTTTTTGACTGGGAAGTCACACTAAATTTTTTTAAAGAAAATGAGGAAAACCCTGTAAAAAAACCTCCAAACCATGTTTGTTCTATTGATGTTTGTCTTTGGCAGGGGGGAGAAAGGGGAGAAGTGGGAAGAGAACACGTCGTATTCTCCAGAACAGTTTTATTTCCCTTCTATTACAGCTCTTCCCTTCCTGTGAGAATCAAAGTTCTTCTACCCAAATTGTTCATGAAAGAAAAATGCTCAGTGGGGACCACAGTCCCATCATGGAACAGATCAGGAAATGGAGTAAGCAGGTGGTCTGCCCATGTCATAGGCTTTTATGGCCACTAAATAAAAAAGACAGCATCTAGAAAATGACAAAAATGAAGAGGAATATGCTAGATAAAAATAATACAGTATAAGGGCTAATCTCCTGCCAGTCAGATGAGGTATAAGGAAAATGTGAGTATGATGGAGTTTTAATTTTGTTAGGAGTCATCTGCTTCCAGCACTGGGACTGGCCAACCCAGGGCAGCTCCTTCAGCCACCACTCTGCTGCAGAAGAGATGACCTCTCAGGATAGGATTTACATGAGCTGTGAAAAAGATAAGTATATGTATTCTGTAAGAAATTTCTGTAAGAAATTAAAACTATCACTACCAATGAGAAGTTCAAATGAATTTTTATAATGGAGGAGGTAAAAATGGGGATTTTGAAAGCACTGTTACTACTAGAAAGTTATCTATCTTAATACTAGGACAAAAAAGTATGTGGGAAAGAATGGAGACAAACAAATGGGGATTTCTTTCTTTTTCTTTCTTTCTTAGCAAAGACAATCAAAAGAGAGAATTGAGAGGGAACTAAACCATCACTTCAGCTATTAATTTTAAACACCTTCAAGCATATTTAAAAAGATGTTTTCAGCATGTTCCTGAGAAGAAACCCATAACTATGTTGGTGCCAAGTGAGTTGCAGTAAGAATGGAAAAAATCAGTGTCAAACCGAGGAAGTGAGGAAACTTTGCAATGACAGTGATGGAGTTTGATATACTCAGAAAAATCATAGGCATGAACCTACCACACTAGCTCTCCCATAGATTTTAAGTGCAATCAACTAAAATGTGCACTGTAAGTAAGAACACTTGTCAATTTATGCCCCATCCTCAGTACAGGTAAGCTTAAGACATTAAATCTTCCAGCTGTTTCACATCCTTTTAATCAGCGAAGCAAAATCTGAATAAAAATAAACTATGAATAAACCTGCATATTATTTTTTCTGCTTCCTGGGGCTGTAGAATTCATGTTAGCTCCTTTCAGCATGAAATTAGACCTGGTGTGCCTTTGTAGAGCATTGAGAACACACAATTCTCTGTTTCTCACTGCTATAACATAATATAAATATCAAACAAAAATTGAAAAGAAACAAAAAACAGATTTAAAAAATGTATCTGTATCTAGAAATAAATTATATGCATTTTGAAGATAAGAAAAACCAGTCACAAACACTTCCTAGAACATGAAACACTTCGGGGGCTGTAATGCATCAGCATAACAAAGTGGTTGTCCTCAAGTAAAGATTTTTCTCATTTGCAAACTTGTTGTTGATTCTGTTAGCTGAATACAGTTAATGGGAAATAATCTGATGCATACTTGTTCTCTCTTTTGATGTGCTGTTTTACATTGTTTACAAAGCTTCTAAGTAAGTTTTTAATTTGTGGAAAATGGGTAAGACACAACAATGATATATTACACTGTTTCTTTTAGAAAGCTGTTAGAAGTGGGCTATTCAATGCTTATCCAAGCTGATATATTTAAACTATAAGAAGTAGATTGAGACACTTGATATTCACCTTAACAGGGTTTACTGACCTGGTAGGTAGAAAGTAACGTTCATCCATAGAAAGTCAGTGTATGAATAGTTATGTATGTTCCAAACACTTCAATATCTAGCAATCTTCCTATCACCTCACTTTCAAAATGGCAAGTTTATTCTTTTGAACAAAGAAAGTCTGAAAAACAGAAAAATCTTTTAAAAAGGCTGCAGCAAACCTGGGTATTTTCATTTATGTATTGTCCAACTAGCCAAGGTTATCTCATCTTAGTAACATGCTTCATATGAAAATATTCGTGCTTGTACTCAAACAATCACCAGACAACATTCTTCTTGTATGAAAATAATATACCTTTAATTTATTTACAAGACTGACCAACCGGATGAAGTGGCTGTACTTCAGATGCACTGCGAGAGCTTTCATTAGTGAACTATGTCACTATTCATATGATTGTATTTTCTTGATATCAATTATAAAACATACAATCAAACAAATCATGAAACGGTTGTGAAGAGTGAGATAAAAGGAATGTACACAGCAATTAGACAGAGGAGAGAAAAACAATTAAAATCTTCCTATACCCACTTTCAAAAATGTAATTTTAAAAGGTGAAAACTGTTTTTCTACTACTTAGTAGATAATATGAACGGGCTGATTTTTTTTTACTTGATGTCAACATTGACAATAAAAGCCAGTATATGTCTCAAATTTGCATGCTAGCTAGTAACATCTGCCAGTTGTAGAAAAGTTTTAATATATATCCAATTCTTCTGGGAGCTTTGACACCATTAAGTGATGAAACGTGCATGATATTAAGATAAGAAAATATAATTATATATCTTACCTTCTGGCCAGTCATTTGCAACAACAAATTAAGCAGCTGTTAATATTTTCTGTCATTTTATATCTCCCATAAAAGTGCATGTAAAAAATTTCACAGAAGTGCTAGGTAGCATACAATTACAAGATAAAGTCTTGGTTTCCGATACATTTAATTTGCTAAATTTATGCACTAAAATGAAAGATAAGATGCAGACATTGTGGTATCAGTTCTTTATCTTTGGTAAAATGTTTTAATTTTATTATAGCCATATTTGCTCTGATATCCATTTTGTGCATGGTCTGCTATTATTAAAACCAACAGGAAACATTTAAATGGATACAAACAGTATCAGTATATTATTTAGTACATTCATGACTTTCTTCATACATTCTTTGAGAATGTTGATAGCATATGGGGAAAATGAGCAAATGCTACTATCTATTATGATTCACTCCCAGTTTAACATAATACTTTTACTAATTCTTGTCATTAGGAAAAAACGTTTTGTTTTGCTTTTAAAAGAAGGAGATCAGTATGACTCAAAGAACAAAAAATTCTAAAAATCTGAAGTAAAAATATCAAGTATTTTTTACTTTCTTACAAATACTAAAATAGAAAATTACACGGGAACTGACTTGAAATTTGATACTATGACCCATCTAAGTAAACAACAAAAAAGGACCACAGACAACATCAATAATTCCTCCAAGGTAGTCCAGTAATGGTCAGTAAGTGATCACTGTCTTTACTGTCTTAAAAATCCATGTTTGACTCTCTCACCATTTCTATCAGTCTCAAAAGAAAAAAAAAAGAAAAAAAAAAAAGAGGAAAATAGTTTTAAAGCAGCACTCTCCAGTGACAAGTCATACAGCAAATTCACATTGGGTTCTGTGTGGTCTTTGTTACACTTTCGGACATATTAATGATGCAAGCTTGACCATATGAACCTAAGTTATACATACAGAGTTATGCCTCCAAATAGCTACTAATTACACTAAATCAATTTGGCAAAGTGAAGGAGTTCAACATCCCTACACCTGAAATATCCAGCTGCTGCTGCATTCACACAAAGAATGAGTTACATTACCACAGCTCATACGTGGAGACCCTGAAACACTGGATTTCATCACAAAGCCAATCTTTGCACGTACATTTTATATATGCAATTCAATATGAACACTGGAAACCTTTCGAATCATGACTTTAATAGAGAGTAAGGTCTAAAATTTTTCTAAGTTCTTGTTTCAGGTCTTGTTCTTGTTGTCTTTGTTATATTACAAAGAGAACAGCAAGCAGGCGATGGCAAGACATTTCATAGGTATAGGCTTGGATCTATTCTGCTAGCTTTATTCAGATGAGTCATCCTCAGCCATGTCAGCAGTGACACTGGACAAATCAAAAAAAAAAAACCTCACAGGGGCAGGATCAAGCTTGTGGTATCAATATAAAAAAACCCCATTCACATTATGTCTATGCTCACATCTCAATTCTTCAACAGTTAATTCTTGGTTTTAGAAATAGAACCTGGGTAACAGTCAAAAATGCAGATGACAACATCCTGACCCATTCTTTGACATGGTATTACTATTTTCAGTATCTCAGTATCATCAAGAGGAAAACAAATGTGAAGCTGCAATTACTGTAGAAGCAATGTCTAATATTCCAATGATTTCCAATGAACATGGCACTTTCAAATGTAAATTAATTTCAAACTCCAAATTAAATAACAACACTGTTTATAAGGGTATAATGAAAAACTGCTTCTGAAGAGCAAAATGATTTTAAAAAAATAATTGTTATTAGAAAGTGATAAAAAAGGACGAGGCAGAAATGGGGAGTGGAGTAATACAGTTTCAATACATGTATTTGCACCAGTGAAAACCATGAGTCACCGATAGCTCTGTCACCGATGACTTAGGGCCTTTACCCATGTACAAATGTAGTAAGCCACTTCCCACTACTGTGGTGCCCACACAGATGCAACACACACATTAAAACACAACAAACTTAGTGCCTGACTATTCCAGATGCTGAGCACCCTCAGCTCCTGACAGGCCCCTCAGTCTAAACCAAAGCATAATCCTGATAATAATTTAGTGGTCAAAGTCTTAGGAATTTAAAGAGCCTGTCACTTTTTTGCTTTCTTTGCTTTTTTCAGTATATCACACTTTTTTCTGTTAGGACGCCGGCATCTTTCATCAATGCTCGGTATACATTCATAGTGCCATACTTCTTCCATTTTCTCCACAGGGTAAACTGCCTCCACGTAATGACGGATCAGTCTCAGTCTGATAGGATCAAGCTGTTTTTTGTTACAAGCACCTGAATGGTTGTATTGCAGTCTGAGATTGTCCGGAGTAAAAAGTTCGGGAAAGAGTCTTACGAGCAGCCTGGCAGCAAAGTTGCCGACTGACAGGCTCTGCTGCACTATCTCTCTTACCTCCTTATCAGACAGCAAATACAGAGAAGGCACAGGGAAGTCTGGATTAGGAACAACGAGTTCATCGAGTGGTATCTTGCAAAAATCCTTGCTGCTTCTTTCTGGTGGCAGCGGTGGCCCTTCGAATTCTTCTCGAAACCTCTCAGGGTTTATTGCATAGCTGAGAAACTCCCTCCTGTCAGGCCCTGGCACATGGATTTTCCGTTGCTGTTGGTACGAGCGCCTTTGCTCCGTGTCTCTTCGTCGACACCTCTCGTCAAGCTTCCCAACAAATTCCAATGTCCACACTCTGTCATTCTTTGCTCTGGGGTACAGTATCTGCACGTAATGTCGAATTAATTTAATTCTAGTGGGGTCAAGCTGTTTCTTGCCTAAAGATCCACTACAGTTGTATTGCTTCCGTAAGTTTTCATGAGTAAACAGTTCAGGAAATAAGAGAACAAGCAATCGAGAGGCAAAATTGCCTATAGAAAGACTGCTTTCATATATGCTTTTGATCTGTTCTTTGTTCAACAGGTAATCTGGGACAGGGACATCAAAATCGGGAGGGGGAAAGTCAAGTTTGTCAAAGTCTATGGGTACAAGCCAGATTTTTTTTGAGCGTCTGCCAGGTTTTTCATATTCAAAACTGTCTTCCACTTTTATGATTGATACATCATCTGGTAAACTAGAAGAATCGTAACAGTCATCTCTCATCTGATCACACTCACTTCCATCCATATATGTATTTTCAAGCTCATCGTTTATTCGCTGAACACATTGCTGCAACCAGGCTTCTTCTTCTTGCACATCTGGAAAGTAAATTTCAGTGTACCTACGGATTATTTGAAGCCGATGAGGATCCAGCAGTTGTTTTCCAGAGTCTCCAAAGCAGCTGTACCTTTCAGCTAATTTTCTGTGGTCAAATAGTTCTGGAAACAATCTGTGTAACAAAAAAACAGAAAATTCCCCTGGAGAAGAAGCTTCATCTAAAAATTCATTGAGATCCTGAGCATCCAGCATGTAATCCGAAGCAATGGCATTACTCCTGTCCAAGGACAAAGCTTCTTCCTGCTCTTTATCCTCCATAAAATGAGAGGATTCGACCTGCTCAGTCTCATAAAAACTGGACGATTGCACATTCTGCTGACTGTTTTCCATTTCCCTTTGAGCCCAAAATCTATTGAAAAAATCATTGACTTGTGGCAAACACTCCACCTGCCACACAGCTGTATTCTTCACAGAAGGATAACAAACTTCCACATAGTTACGGATAAGCTGCAGATGAAGAGATTCAAGTTTCCTTTTGTTGAGAAAGCCGCATGCACTGCAGCTTCTGCTGAACTCATCATCACTGAAGAGCTCTGGGAAGAGCTGCACTAGCAACCGGCAAGCTAGATCTCCACCTGACGTGCTTTGATCCATGATTTGTTTGAGCTCCGCAGAAGTCAGCTGGTACTCTGGGGGAGGCTTGAAGTCTGCAACAGACTCTGCTGGACTGACTTGCTTTTTAATTCTGCTAACCTCCAGAGACAACAGGTCAACTTTACTGTGAAGCTGAGTCATATTGGTATTGAGGGTGTTAAGCGTGTAAAACATTTTCTGTATCAAAGAATATATATTTGGGTCAGAATCTGCAGTGGCTGCTGTTATGGCAATGGCTGCAGCAGAGTCCCTTTTGCGTTGGTCATTCAAAGTCCGAAGGTGTGAGGGACTGCTGGGGTTGATTTTTTCAAACAACTCATAAGAAGAAAACTGCTCTCCTCCTGGTGGGTTCTTCTTCTCTGTGATTTTGTGTGAGATGCCATAGAGAGGTTTTTTATAAGATGGAGTGGTTATGTCACTGAAGGATTCTTCTTCACAGAGCCACGTTATGTTAGGGTTCTTGTTCTTGTTTGGCTGCTCTGCATTTACCTGAGTGGGTGAGCCAGAATCTCTGTTCTTCATGTTTGAAAGGGTGCCCTTTGAATGAATAAATATTGTATTAGTAAGACTACCTTAAAAATATTAGCCATAAGTATGTGCCCCTTAAACAGGCAGTTACATAAATATGCAAAGTCAAATTTTCTCCAGAGGAGTTAGTTGTGTCAAATACACCAAAATTAATAAATTCACTAGGAAAAGTAAAAATAAAAATACAGTAAAGTATAATTTAGTTGGTGGTTTTTAACAGTTTTGACTCATGGCTTTCTCCATGTAATAGAAATGCAATAATAATCCTTAGTACTCTTTACCCACAGAGCTCTAAATACTCTCCCAAATTAAGTATCATTATGCTTCACCTTGCATATGAGGATCTTGGGCTGTAGAGAATTTGGGTAGCAACAAGTCAGCAACAGAGCCAAGAATAGAATCTAGATTTTCTGACTCCTAGTCCTGTGACCTTGCCACTGCCTCCAATGACTGCATTTAATGTTCCAGCATACTCTTTAGGTTAGCTTTTGAAAATACCACAAAAGCTATAAGACACCAAAACTATGCTTATTCTCTTCTTTCTAATGTGAAAGGTTTATATAGGGTTTTTTTAATCTCTGTAATGGTGTACAATTCCTAAACAAGTTCTAAGAATCACTGTAATTTTAAAATAGTATTCTATTCAAATAATAAAAACTTAAAAACAAAGTGAAAAGTACCTTGGTGTTGTCTTTTGAAAAAGGGAAGACTAAAATTTCCTTATTTTTGAAAGGCAGGGAAGTTTAGACTCATGGGTTTCCAATTTTCTAAATTATTTATATAAAAAACCAGTAATGAGCTCTTAAAGAATTAATATTCTCAGTAACTTCTAACTCTTCCTCATTGCATAAAATTGGAAGTAAGCATTTTCATAAACTTGCAGCAAATATGCAGGGTTTGGGTGAGTTGGGATTTTTTGCAAACATGGATATTGCAAATAATTCTTAGGAAATTAAGTAGATACAGCAGAATCAAAATCCAACATACAGAATTCAAACATGAGAAAACACACAGATTTTAGAGAAGACTGTGTTGAAACATTCTGCTTGGCTTGTTCCACAGAACATTAATTAGATAAAACAGAATTTGCATTCAAGTATTAAAACAAATGAAACACAGACTTGAGGTCTGAGCTGAGAACCACAAGCAGTTTGAAATTCAAGTGAAGACTCCATTATGTTCTGTAGTAAGGAACTTGAATTAAGGTTCCTTTCTGAAAAAACAGAACTGTAGCACTCATCACATTAACCTGGTCCCTATGTTCACTCACACTTAGTATCTGCTTACTGCAGTGACAAATTGAATCTAATCACTTTTTAATTTCTAATGCAACGTATACTCAAAAGAGGCTCAGAAAGAACAAGCTGGTTTCCACTCCAAGTTTAGAAACCAGCAGAATCAATTAAATTGAAGTTATGTTTACAAGTTCTGTTCTCATTCACATCATACAACCCTACATATGAAACGCTAAAGAGGTGTGGATGGACAGATGATAAAATGAAAGCATAATGCAAGGCAATGTATTTCACAGTGCACAGAATACTAGCCATCGTAGTGCCCAGGACACCTGACTTCCAGGTCTCATTTAGAAGACTCCCTCCAGTCTCACTCATATGCAAGCACATTTGCTATGAGGACAGTGAGGAACCAGAGTCCTGTAACACCAACAGCTATTAAAGGGTGACTTACCCCAGCAAGTGGTATGATATACCCTAAGTAAATCAGCCCTTTGTGACTTGTAGAATACCACAACACAAGAGACCAAATTGTGAGCAGACCAAGATCCACATTGCTCCCACCTAACCGTAGGCTCCTACACTGGGACTGATGTCATCACACACCACCTATGCTTGTCCATGGAGAAACAGAGCTATTTCCACATGGTAATAGAGCTCTCCCAAATAGACATCAGCTGAAAGAAGGTCATGAAAATCTCCCTTGACAATATGCATAGTTCTGTTCCCCAGTCAGGTGCCCAGACTGAACTGCAAATTTCTTTCACCGTTTTAGATCAAAAGAACAAAACAAAATTGCAATTCTAGAGAATATATTTCTTACACATACAGTGGGACCTGCTACCTAAGAAGCTAGCTCTTCCATTAATGCTCTCGTTTACAAAGAATATTCCAAATACTCTTTCACATGCAAAGTATGATTCATTCAATTCCTTCTCTACTAAATAGCTTGCCACAGGCCATCAGTTGTCTGTCAGTTCTCATCAGAACTCCTGCCGTACCTTTTCCCTAATTAATTATATAATAAAATTTGGCAATGCTGGAGTAACTTCTATTAATGCACACCTCACACACAGAACCAGGGTAAAGCTATATTAGAATGTGTATTAAACAATACAAATTCATTGTCTTAAGTATCTTATTGCACTTTGACAGTGAGTACTGTGAAAGTTTGCACTCTCAGTTTTGGACATGGTGCTCTGGAGGAGGAGTGTTCACACCAGGAACTACAGCAGATCTCTGCTGCGATGGCAGAAGAACTTCTGCCCTGTCACTAATGCAGCTCACAGTATTTGGATCTGCTAGCGGGATGAATTTGGTTATCTGCACTTGAGAAACACAGTCACTAACAGATGACAACACATTTGGGCCCATATTTAAGGATTTTCTATTTCAGATGCATTCTTGCTTTTTTTCCTTTGGCTTTTAATTATCCTGTCTTTATACAGTTTCCATCTGGAAACAGCACTATCCAAAGCATAAATACATGGCTTTTCATGAATTTTCCAATTAAACCAGTATTTAGTATTTTTAATTAGTTTTCTGTAACACTGATCTTTAAACATAATGTATTTTAGATAAATACTACACCCATTTAAGACATTCAGTTTTAATGCACCATCAAAAAATATGCAGATACTGTTCTATGAGACTCAATGTACATAAGATAGTGCTGCTTGCACAGCGAGTTTTTATATTATATACATGCTTTGAATGTTTGCAAAATGCAGTATTTTGCCAAACATCAATCAATAAGTAACTGTGAAATAGTCTCTCACATTGTCTCTCAGAGTCCTAAGCCAAGTTTTAGAAGTTGTTCAGTTTATTGCTCTGTTCAGTGCTGAAGTCCATCTAATTTACGACCTTTATTATGCTTAATATAGCCTAAATATCTGTAAGAATACAGAGCATAATATTCTATCATAGGAGTAAAGAAAAATATATTAGCGAGAAACATATAAAAAGATTCTATCAAACACATGAGATCTTGGAAATGTCTTGCACATAAATTTTTTAAACTCACAGTCTTCTACACTTCTTTTAAAAAAAGAAAATTAGTGAAAATGCAGTAGTTATGAAGTGACAATCAGGATTTTAAAAAGCAAAATGTCTTCTGATAGAAAGTAATTTAGTAATATGATCACCAGCCCAATAGTATAGATACAGAACATTAAAAGTACAGCTCTGCTTGTACCATACAGAGATGCTTATGTGATGTGGAGTAAAAATATACTACAAGCACAATATTCTCAAAAGTAATTAACATTTTGTCCTCTGTTTAAACAGAAATAATGAAGCCATCAACTAAAACAAAATATTGGTACTAGAAAAGTAATGAACTGTAAAAATGTTGTTAGGATTAAGGACTATTTCTGGTTGATTATTTAACTAAACATGCTGATTCACTGGGGTCAGCCAGAATGAATTTTCATCATTGTTACTGGGTCACTTTCTAAGTCCAAAGTTATAATTAATTTCAAATTAAATTTTAAAATTTATTACAGGCAAAGAGCAAACAGTAAAATCCAAAGCAAGCACAGTTCAGAGACCATTATGAAGCTCTTTTAAGAATCTGGATGTAAGTCAAACAATTGTAAAAAGAGAAAGAGAAGGGAAAAGAACCATGTAATAAGATTAAAACCTACCTACCACAGGCATTCAGGGGAAAAAAAAAGCCCCAAGAAGACAGAGAGATGACAGTCAAGAAAAAGAATTATGAAGAGCTATGGCTAGAAAGGAGAAATGAAATGTTCAAATACAACATGGAATAACTGGCTAGGTAGCAGAACAGCAGAAAAGGATATGTGCATTAGAGTAGGTCATAAACTAAATATAACCCAGGGCCTGAAGTTATTCAAAAGAGGATGGATTTGAGTCTAGGTTATTTTAATAAAGTGCTGAGTGTGAAAAACAAGAGGTCATTATACTACTTTAGAGGGTGTTAGAAGAGATGGGACTATCCAACTCTGGACACTACTCTTTCAGGAATCTCAAAGAGAATATCAAAAATATAAAGTGACTCCTGAAGAAGAGCTGAAAAAACCAGAATTTTAGTCTTAGAAAGGAAGGGCTGAGGGTGGACAGCATCACGCCAATTCTCCCATGAGCAGAAGACTTTTCTAGGTACAGACGATCCCTGCTCTCCCTACTGTAAAGAACAAGGACAAAAAGAAACTTGCTCAGTTTCAGCATAGATTAATGAAAATCTCCAATTGCTAGAACAGGATAACAGAAGAGACCAGGCATCTCCTTCACCAGCTGGACAAAAATCTGGATCATCACAAGTGGGATGCTGCATGAGAAGTTGTAATACATTTTGCTCTTGATATGATGAAGTCTTCTGCATCCTTGAATTTTTGTTTTTCAAACAATACACAAATTTATACTTGTCTCACTGACATTGAAATCTGTGTCACAGAAGGAAGAACTACAGCCCTGATTCTACCATTCGGCTGAAGGACTGTGTGACATGGGAGGGACTGTAATCAGTCATGCTCAGTTAATCCAAATCACTACCTGCTCCTACGCTCTCTGACAAACAACAAAAATATATTTAACAGGAATGAATTAACCTGTAACTGTATTTTGTAGATATGATCACTCCTCTGTTATTTAAAGAAATATCCAGACAAGTAATGTGTGCAAACTGTGTTAAGATTAGCTGTATTTGCCTCAAACTCGTTACTAATGCAAATCTAGTTAAGCAACTTGCATTTTGCTTACAGCAGCAATCAATTTAGCCTACAAAATATGAACAGAAAAATCACACAATCATGTATAGAGAAATCACCTCTTGTGTAAAGCGTCTTTTCTTCACACTGGGTAAGACATCTTGCTGGCTCCCTGAACCATCACAACCAAGTGAGGTCTGCTTCCGTTTGTTGGAGTCCTGCAGGCAAGTAACTGCACCATCCAGTGAGTGTTTCTCAGCAGATCTGGATGTTACCGAGCAGTCTAGAGCTTCATCTTCGTTTTCTGTTTCTACTTTCACAACATTTTTTTTAGGAAATTTTACTAGGAAAAAGAGAAGGTTTAGAAAGATAAAGCACTCTCTCCAGAAAACCATGACACCCTTAATTTGTGGTTTGTTTCTTTTTATGAAAATATGTTTTGAAAAACATCGTTCTTTTTTATGACTTGTATGGTAAGTGTATGCTGAGGCCACCCCAAAGTCAAGTTTCTCTTATGCTAGGAACCATTCAGTCATCCAGTAAACAACAGGTTCTTCCCCAAAGAAGAGTCTAAAGCATAAACAAATAAAGTTACAATAGGAAGATTTTTTTTGGAGGGGGGGAAGGATGTAGAAAAGCAAATATAATGAATAACAAAGATAATTGTGTATTTTAGATAGCTTTTTAAAAAACATTAATGTAATTTGTCTTGATCCAAGTGCATTCTTTATCAGGTTACAAAGGTTTTAATTCAACAAGTATTTTTCCCTGATCATAAATTATACAAAGTACAATATTTTACCTTCATCATCATCAGTGATTTCAGCTGAATTCATCTTCTATCTCACTAAAGAATAAAACAAAAATACAAAAATAAATATCAGCATCTTCTGGAATCAGGAAATATCTACATCTGGTTTTAGAATTAGTTTTAATCTAGATGATTTCCAGTCTGTACGTTTGTAATAACTAGCTATTTTTGGTAAATTTCATGGCCACCTATAGAACTGTCAACATGTAAACTATGTTGCAGACAACAAACGACAGATAGGTAAGTATTTAAAACTATATGTCTTTTTCTGGTATGGAGAAAAGTAAAAGTCCTTTTAACCTCTGGAAAGTATTTTGGCAGTATATAAATGGAGGTTAACAATATTAAACTCTCCATCCTGCAACAAGTAACTACTTATTACAGTCAAATATTTTTATACTGTCATTGTGGGCCACTCAAAGTCATCACAGAAGGAAAACTCATTGTAAACTGTAATATACACGCTAGAGTAAGTTTTCATTTTAAAATCTTTGATCTTCTGATAAGGATTGCATCAATTCAAGCAGAGCAATCTGCAGATCTACAGTAACTACTTTTTCTTTGTCAGCCTCTAAATAATGTAAGAATGCTTTTTGTAACGAAAAACAAATACTGTGTATTATTCTAGCATGATCTTAACATTACTTCTCACATGAAAGACTCAGCTCCATTTCTGTTTCCTTGAAAATTAATTTTGCAAGTTACCTGGGGGCAAATATCAATCTGTGTACATGTTCCTAAAAGATATTCTAAATCTTTTGGAGATCTACAAAGCAAACAACCTAATCAGATCTCACTGACCATTACAGGGCACAGAGCTGCAAACTGACACTCTCAGCTGGTAAGCTGGTGACTGGTAAACTATCACACACTGCTCATGTTCATCTACATGCAGCATTATGTTTACTTGGCCCCAGAATATTATTACTTTACATTTCCACGGACACATTCTTCTTTCAAACAGTTTTCTTTCAACTGTTCCTGCCTCTCCTTTAGCCAAGGTCTGAAATCAAGACAGGCTTCTTTCTGGCTGGACCAAGTGAATAAAATCAATCAACCAAAAGTGTATGTACAGTGCAGGAGTGGGAATTATAATTAAATTTTTAAAAGTAAGAGAGAGAAAGAGACAGAGAATCTGTTTTGGAAGAAAAAAATAATCTACCTCTTCTGAATAATGTTGAATAGAATTTAAAAAACGAATCGTCTCAAAATACTGTTGAAAAACTCTGTAAACACTTGAATGCTGTGTAGCTATTAATTTTTCTTTGTGAGCAGCTGATGGCTGTTAATGGTAAGTATGAGATCCCATTCTGGATAAGATTTTGTACTATTACACTACAATTATACTAGCACACATGCTCAAACAAAAGATGCATGGAATTATAAAATCAGCTCATACTGGGCCACTCTAGAAGCTGAAATACCCTTTGATGCGCTGATCTTCAACATGGCCCCTATATACAGCCTTGTAAAGGGCATCCTCAAGAGGATAACATGAGATTGTCTTCATCATCACATCACCAGAAGACGACTCTGTTGGACGTAGAGCTACTACAAACCCCTTAGATATCTACTCCTTTCACCCACCATAATCCCCTATTTCAGGACTTGCATTTATTAATTGATCCACATATAAATTATATCAGTTTAACAGTACTATAATCACTTCACTTAAACTTTTGCAAACTCTGTAGAGACCCAACAGCATGAAACTAAGTGGCCCACACCAACTTCTAAATAAGCATTGGTAAGGGTTAATTCCAAGTCTTGCTAACTCAACAATATTTATGAATTTAGACACAGACACTACAGCTCTTTATGAAAAATCCTAAACCAGCATACTTTGTACAGCACCATCAAAAAGCTACACTGGACCTTAAGAAAAGCACATAGTATTAAACATTCGTATTTTGCCCTGATATCCCAGATATATTGATATTCAGTGCCTAGATCATTCCTACACTTTTCCACGCTGCACTAGACTTAGCTCTGAGGGATGTGGTATAAGACCAACATGTGCCAGTGCTCAAGAAGTGTGACACAGAGTCTTTTTGCGAGGGCCTGAGGTGGCAGTAAGCAAATCAGCCAGTACCGCTACAGAATATTCTGTAATGGAAATCAAAATGGTTCTTTAAATAATCCTAGACTGCTCTGTCAGAACAAAACACTAAAAGGTGGTAAACACAGAGCCAGAAGGGAAGATTATAAAGGTGTCAGTGAGTGGAATAACACAAAATATTTATATGGGGATATAGGGAATTGTATTTTCCTTCTAATTCCTGGTGTTACTGCTATTCAAATAGGAAGAAAACTTCAGGAGAATTCCTCTGAGAGAATACAAGCAAACTGGAAGAAGATAAACAAGGATCTGAATAGCTACTCTTTAAGAAAAAAAGTGAAAACTAAAGCAAAGCACATACCCTGGTTAACCATTAACTTTCTAAAGGAGGCAACATCAGGAAGACCAAAGCTATCCCAAACTCAGGTCAAATAACATGAATTCAAAACATTGTTTCACAAATTTAAAACAAGGTGTTATTACTTATTTTGATTTTTTTTTTAATTTAAAAACTGCCAGAATACAATTAAAAACAAACAGTCAAAGCGAGTCAAAATGAGGTCTAGAAAGACTGGGTTTCATATCTGAACTCTGATGCCAAACAAAGCATGAACTCCAGCCTTTTCCTTTTTGGGAGTCCTAGTAATATCTCTCTCCTTATCCAGTTTCCTGTCTTCTTTGTGCAATTTGTAAGTACTTAGGTATTATGAGAAAATGAAGCACATATGACATCTTCTGTCAAGAGACAGGATTCAACTGCCCCTCTGATCTCCTGCCTCACAGTTCCACCTGCTCCCTTGGTCAAGCATGGGTGCCCATCTTAACCTTCAGTGAGCTCTTCCAGCTTCAAAAATGGACAGAAAACAACAATTTACCTCTTTCTTTGCCGGGGTGCTTGTCTTCTAATTCAGAGAGGTAAAATGGTAAGTAATGGGACAAAATAGTGCAAAAAACACTGGAGTAAGAAACTCATCCAGTAAACACTTGACAGTTGTTCCTTGTCATGTTGAATATACAGACATATTTCATTCCTACCTTGCACGTCTTTTTTCAAAACAGAAGATAAAGACATTTTTCATCCTTAGCCTCATACTGACTCAACGCTATCTACAGGACAGCAGTTAGCTAGTTCTAGGAAAGAGTGAACACCCTGTGCTGAAGCTGGGAGCCCAGGTCTGCAGCCATGATCAGCAGAGCAACCAGCCTTGGCAGCTTTATCTTGCTGGGATACAGAGGGATGCTGCAATACACCCAGAAAGTATTCTGGTGGAAAGAGGATCTGGAAGGTGGATTCCAAAACATACCAAACACCTACAATAGCAGCTGCATCAACAGCCAGATCCTGATCCTACTGAAGTTGGTTGGGACCCTAGACTAAGCACCCGTATGTCTAAATTTTAGCTGAAATTTCTTGTATTTCCACCTGAACTGGCAAAAAAATCATGCTTTGCAAAATACAAACGTAAACCTGAAACTTCAACTTTTAGGCTTTTGCTTGTAAGTATTTTAATTTGTGAACCAACTTATTTTAGAAGCATTTGATCTGAGTTCTTTGGTTTCTATCTTGTATATAAAGTAAAATTCCAAAGAATTTGTGGACAGTTCAGAAATACCTAACGAAACAGGCATGCAATAGGTAAACTAACAATCTGTTTCTCTATGCTTATGCTAAACTATGGGTAAAACACTCAGAAAGAGTAACTCTTACAACCCTGATTATGGATCCTACACCTCTGAACACTAAAAATGAAGCAAATAGCTAATACTCTCACTTTTTCTTCAAAAGAGACTCTGCTTTTGATCAATAGCAGCCTCCTTCTAGCAGAGCCACTAGCCAAACTTATCTAATGTAGGATAAACAGGAAGATGGTGTAGCGCTTGGACATATTCAACAATCAAGGAAGAAGAAGTAAACAGACCCCATTCTCACAACACAAACAATAAATCACTGGATTTTACTGGCTACATTTCATCTATTGAGAATGGTCTTGAAAACAGTATGTAGTTGAGAATTTCTATGTAATCCATGTCTCAAAATAAGCAGCTTGTTGATGTATCAACATATACTCACCTCCCCATCTAAACTGCCTTGATAGCTACTAGTGCTGGTACTGTACAGATACCCGTGCTGAGCCACAGCTAGGTGTCATGTAACGGAGCCTGTGGGATGCCAGCACTCACCTGGGAAGACAGAAACATGCCTTTGGGCTCAGCCCTCCAGACTCAACCACACATCCTGACACTTCTGAAACAGTTAAAAAAGATGAACCAAACCAGACAGTTTTCTTAGGGTGATTAAAGCTTTGTTCTTCTAAGAGAAATGAATAAAAATACCTAGATTTGCAATCAATGCAAACGATGACAGTATTCTTTTTAAACTAATGTGCAATGGGCCTATTTGCAGAGAACTGATGTGATATATAGCATTGTGTCCCATTTCAAGTTATGCTACTACAAATAAATTCAATATGCATTACAGTTTAACTCCAGACACCAATCTAAGTGGGTATGATTTGTGATCTTGTGATTTGCAGTAAGACCAGAAACCCTACTCAGCTACCAGCTAAACTGGTAGGTGGTTATAGATTCTAGATACCAAGTTCCTGGTGGACCACATATACAAACCCTTCTGAGTTCTGCTAGGACTGCTACAATTGGAACTCCTCTGCATCTGCCCTGCTGGCTAAGACTCAACAGCTATTTATTTTCAGAACATGCTCAGTACTTTGGGACTCTCATAGAGGACAGTCATAAGTAAGTGTTGGGTATTTCGCTCACCAATGGCAGAATGCTTACAGAGGTATTTGGGAGCCAGAAAACCTGGTTTTCTTTCTTTTAAGTTCCTGCACTTGATTTTGCAGCACCGACAAGAATCCAGGTCTCCAAATCCTAGAAGAGTGATCTAATCACTAGGTCATGACATGCTGGAGGGCATGTGCTAAGAGGAGTGGTGGGCCAGGGAAAGAAGGGG